AACTTCAGGCGATGGCAGTGCGTGCTATCCTGGCTGGAGGCGACGGCGGAGGAGAATGTGGAGTACTTTGAGCATTCAACTCACCGCAGCGCTGTGAACATCGATAGTGACTGCGTTGAGGGCGTCGTGTCTCGGGCCTTGGCATTGACACCAGATACCTGTCTTACTGCAGTACGCACTCCAGTGTTACAATGTATTTGCCAAAGTGTGAGGTTCCCATGTAGGCGAGCGTGCAGGTGCGCGCAGAGGCCGAGGACGAGCGTGCGCGTGTCAGGTCGATGCAAGTTTACAGTGTCTTCATCTGCAAAAATGCTGTAGCTTTGACCAAGATCACGAGATAGGTACCTAAACGTTCGGGCGGGCCATACCGAGGATGCAGCATCGCAGAACTTCAGAGTACCAGAGGGTTTGTGGCGCGCAGTGGTGCTACGTGGTGGAGACCCCTGGGACAGTGGAAAGTCTTGCACATCTCCACAGCTTGGCAATCGACAAGTACAACTTTGGCGTCACTGCTGCAGGCAACGGTGTCGAAAGGCTCTCGAAATCGGTGAGCGGCTACAGGATGATGCCACCCGAAAGGCGATGAAAGATGTGGTCTCATTTGCGGCGTCCAGACCACTGACCCGGGCGAGAGGTAGTTATCCCTCGCGCGTCTAGGTCTGGTATGCGGTACTAGCCCAAGGGCGTTGCGATATGGAAGCGCATGCACTTGCAGACACTCTGCAGGCATCGGTGGTTGCAACTGCAGAGGCTTGCTTGTATGAAGCCGCAATTCATGCTATATTCGGCGGTGATGTGGCCGCCTTTGCACGCGCACGACCTCAGGCATCTTGGGAAGATAATGGGTGGGCTAGGATTAAGTGCGCTGAAGCCAGTACCACAGTCGACACCGCAAGTTTGCATAAGCATTCGCTTCCCAATCGACTGCCACTTAGACCAGAGGAATCAGCACTTGCGGAACTAAATGCGCTGCCTGGGACGACGCTTCAGACGCTTTCTGCGAGATTGGCAGCGCATGGCGCAGCGAGTATTCCAGAGTTCCTCTTACATCCAACCGAAGATGATGGGTCCGCAGAGTTTGCATTGATCTGCCGTGTCAAGGCTACTCTAGCATGTATCTGGCGACGTGTAGCTGGAACAGGAAGAAGTATACTAGGACATGACGCGTTGTGCGACCAGTGGCTAGCTAGGTATGCTGTGCAGCTATCAACAAGCCCAGCAACGATCCAACTTGCGGCCTTTTACAGCGCGCCTTTGCATAGTGCGCGTCTCCAGCACGTGGCTGAATGTTTTTCAGGTGCAAATAATGCTTGTGAAATAGACTCCTGCCTTGAGGCGGCTAAAGAAGCCCTGGGAGCAGAAGCGGTGCCTGAACTTGCATGCCGTGTCTGCGATCAACTATTTCGGAAGAATGGTGCGCTGGCGCTATCCGTCTCTTTGACATCAGGGGATAGGGCTCGCAATTTTGTTGCGCTCGGGTGGCTCGCGGCTATGCCTCTTGAGCTCGTTCGCCACGCGAACTCAATCTTAACTGACCTTGGCCTTTCTGCTATTA